ATTTATTTGGAGAAAAGCTTGGGTTTCTATCATGTGGACAAAGAAAACTGATTTTGCATACATCAGTTAAAGCCTATGTTAGAGAAAATCCTAAATAATCCATTTTCCCTCAAACCAGATTGCCCACCTTACCTGTGACCAAGTTCATTGAGACAAAACAGGAATTTCCTTTTTACTACAATTGAGTTAAGGACCAACTAGCAAGCATCAAACACTGGGAAGCACATACAATGAATGAGACCCAGTTTCTGTCCCTCAGGTAACTCACAGTGAAATCTTGGATTTAACAGGAAGGCATATGTCATGTTGAGTATGTTGGTAATATTAGTGAGAAAGAGGAATCTATTCTATTAGAGAAGAGTAACAAATACATAAGGATAGATTCATAGAAACAAAATGTGTCAAGTGTAAAAATTCAGGGGAATATGTATAGCTCACAATCACATAAGACAAAACAAAGTGAAGGAGAGTCTGATGACAGCTGAATGTTTATATTCTTATAAAGGGAATTTGTATGAAAAAGGTATCAAGAAACTGTTATAGTCCTTTTCAGGAGGAGGGGTATATCAATATTAATTCAGGAACTGGGACTAATTATAGTGGGTCCTATGAGAAGCCAATGGCACCAGACTTCTCATCAACACTAGAAGCCAGAAGACAATGAGAAATGCCTTAAAATTTCTCAGTAAAACGTTGTTCAGCCTAGAATTCCATGCCATACTATCAAACAGATAAAAATAAAGAGTAACATTTTCAAATATGCTAAGTCTTGAAATAACCTACTATCCTTGCACCCTTCTAAAGTAATATCTGGAGGATGTGCACCAGCAAAACGAAGAAGGAACCAACACAGAGGAGAACACAGATTAGGAAATAGGAATTTCATGTCAGGAAATAGGAACTGCATTGAAGGGAAGTCCAAGGGGGTAGCTGTGCAGCACACCTAGAAAGCACTCAGAGCAGAGGAGAACAGGGAGATGGAGCCTTCGGAGGGAGAGCGCCAGGAAAATATTCTGAAATGATGTGCTCATACTACCACTCCTTGATTGCTAAAGCTTAGATGTTATCTGCTCACCCACTGTCAAGTGAGATGAGAATTTAGCTCTTACATCTCGCTCCCACCACCTGCCACCATCCCTCCCTCCTCTCCCCTGCATTTCAACCCCTCCATTGATCTGGGAATTCTAAACTGCTGCCAAGCAAGGTGCATGAAAAAGTACTCAACATCACTAATCATCAGGGAAATGCAAATCAAAACCACAGGAAGACATTACCTCACACCTGGTCAAAAGATAACATGTGTTGAGAAGGAAGTGGGAAAAGAGAACCCTTATACTTTGGTGAGATTATAAACTAATGCAGTTATCATGGAAAACAGTATGGAGGCTCCTTAAAAAATTAAAAATAGAACTGTTATATGATCCACCAATACCACTTCTGGGTATATATCTGAAGTAAATGAAATCACTATCTTGAAGAGATGTCTGCACTCCCATGGTCGTTGCAGCATTATTCACAATAGCCAAGATATGGAAACAGCCTAAGTGTCCATCTAAAGATGAATGAATAAAGAAAATGTGGTGAGTGTGTGTGTGTGCGTGTGTGTGTGTGTGTGTGTGTGTGTGTGTGTTGAAATATTATTCAGCCTTAAAATCCTGTCACTTGTGACAACATGGATTGATATGGAGAACATTATGGTAAGTGAAATAAGTCTGACTAAAAGATAAATACTGCAGGATCTCACTTGTGTGTGCAATCTAACATAATCAAACTCATGGAAGCAGAAAGAGAATAGATCAGTGGTTGCCTGGGGCTGGAGTCCGGGGCAAATAGGGAGATGCTGGTCAAAGAGTATATCCCTTCGGTTATGCAAGATTAGTAAATTCTGGAAACCTAATGTACAGTAATGCAACTATAGTTAGCAATATTGTATAGCATATTTGAAATTTGCTAATAAGTATTCTCACCACACTTATACACACACACACACACACAAGTAGCTATGTGAGGTGATGTATATGTAATTAGCTTGATTATGGTAATCATTTCACAATGTATACCTCTATCAAAACATAATGCTATACATCTTGAATTTATACAATTTGTATTTGTTAATTATACCTCAAAAAAGCTAAAAAAGGAAACAAAAGTATGAAACACTTAAGAAACATACTAGCAGGATCTTAGAAAAGGGTGATTTAAGAGGACACTTTGGGTGGAGAGTAACAGGAAGGGTTTGGTGGAGGAGGTGTTAACATCTAAGTCTTATAGAACAAGCAGTAGGGAGGTTCATGCATAATGTCTGGAAGAGAACAAGGGAGGTCTCAGCCACTGTAGAATAGATGAATGAATAATAATCTACAGCTTCACAGGACTCTGATTTTATGATTATATCAAACCCAACAAAGACCTTCCAAGAAGAACGTTTCTGACCAACCTAAAGCTCATCTGCAAACAAGGGCCTTCTATTGTGATCTCAACTGTGAGTCACTGGGCTCTTTTAGGTCCCAACTCTATCCTTACATGACCCTGGAAATACCCTGAACATTAAAGACTGTGGGATCAGTGACTCACTTAGGCTCTCAGGAAAGTGATTTTATTCTAAGAGCATTATGCATTCCTAGGAGTGCTATCAGGGGATTAATTCATTACTTGGATGACAAATTACCTGAAATTCTGATAATCAGGGAAGCTCGTAACCAGAAAAGGATTAGGACAATGTCTTGAATGTCTACTATTTCCTACTAACCTCTTGTTATGATTGATAACCATACAACAAAATCTCATTAATTTGAACATATTGCATTAGGGACATGTGAAGGCTAATTTTCTCTGGCCTGCACCCATGTGAAATTTAGCATCTTTGAAAAAATAGTTGTTTGTAAGGCAAATTGAGAAGGTAGATACACTTACAGAAGATATAGTTAACTCAGCGTGGATCTCCCTAGTGCTAATCACAAGCGAGTCATGTCATTCTGTCCCTGAGCCTTGAACCTCATCCCTGGGAAGCATTCTTCAGCTCCCATTCTTCATTATGTTTAAATATATTGGGAAAAAGCCAAGTGGTGTTATTTTTTAAGGTTCTAGCCAACCAAATGAGTCTAGCCTGCCTTCTTGTTTTTTGAATTTGTAAAGTCTTCTTATACAGTAGTCCTCCCTTTTTTTGCAGGAGATGTGTTGCAAGACCCCCAACTGATGCCTGAAACCATGAATAGTACAAAAACCTATATATACTATGTTTTCTTCCTATACATATGCACCTATGGTAAAGTTTGAGGTGTGACAGCAAAACTCGAGTGAATTTATTTTTCCTCCTTCACACTTCAAGGATAGAAGATTATTTCTTACCACGGACATTAGCAACCTCAGCATACAGTTTTTTTCTTATGATGTCAAGAACTTTTCACCTTTTCACTTAAAGTAAGCACTTTGCAGCTTCTCTTCAGCATATTCGAGTTGCCAGGATCACTACTCAGAACTTATGATATCATGATAATACTCCTAACTCTTCCATGTCTAATTTAAAGTATATTTCATGTTACTGTGTTCCGTCTTGATTCAAATCGGTTAAGGCAGATTCCAAATGGTTATCATAAGGATATTTTATTATTATTTCAAGAAGGCATCATAATCTATGATTAAGATCTGGACAACATTTCTTTAAATGCATCTGAAGAAACATGAAGCTTATCTATCAGTGATGTCAGCACAAATAATCTTAAACCTGATGGGTTCAATGGTTTAGTGCTATTTTAGAGTCTAGAAAAAGGCTAATCTCAATATAGGTCAAAATATCAAGAGCAAGTGCCATGTCACAATTGTAGCATATTTTAAAATTCAAATGCAGCCATCAGTCCTGGAGATTCTAATGAAGGTATTCACCCCAGCTGAGAACTACTCAAGGCTATGAACTAATTTCAATTTTAAAATCCTTAAAAATAGAAAATGAGTTTTGAAATTTCAGCCTTCCAGGGTCTATATATGTTAGAATGTTAAATGTGGAGATGTTTGAATTATAAGGAAAATTCTAAGAGCCCACACTCAGAAATATACCATACCATTCAGGTGAAATACAATTCAATATGTTTTTCTTCTCAGTAGAACTCAATAGGAAATAAAACCTACATTGTGGTGATAAATTCTGAAATATTACTTATTGAATTAAATGAATTGAGTACCTTAAATTCTTTATAGGAGATTTTTTTGTCTTTCATTGGTATACACTTATTGTTAGAAATTCAGTTTATCCTTTTCTCCAAAATAAAGTCAATGGTATTAAGATGTATGATGTGTTAAGGGTATAATGTGTTTTAATTAAGAGCTAACCATGAATTAAATATTTTAAAATTTAAGATATTAAGACATACACATGCACACACACAAAGAACTTTTGCTCTAATATCTTATCTATATTTGACATAGCATTTATTTTCAAAGCGATTTCAACATGGATTGCTTTTTCCTATCTTTGTGTAAAATATAATTGCCTAGTTATTGTGTAGAATGATTGTGAAAACAATAGGGAACAATGCCAAAAAATATTTATGTGCAGAAAAGTTTATTAAGAAGCAGAGAAATAATAAAACTTAAGAAATTCACTCTAGGAGAAAATATAAGACATAACTGGACCCCTGGTCTGACGGTTGAAATCAGTGCGAATGCAAGCCCTGCAGACAGTATCTACCTCTCTGGGAAGGATAATCTAGAGCCCCAAAGTGATAAGGAGAATGAGAATTTAGAGGATTGGAATAATTTCTTAGCTAGTGGATTACAGATTAATTTATATTTGGTGCCATCATTGGAAGGGAAAGAAAGCAAGAGAGGGACGTTAAGATGAACCAGAATGTTCTCACAGAGCCAGTGGGATGGTGATGGGCTCGTTGGAAACATGAGTCCATCCCATGGAGCGACGTCAACCAGACTCCATGTGTCCTAATGGTCAGCACAAAAGAAGGGTCTATGTCTGTGGGGACAGAGGTGAAGGAAGAGGTGGGCCTGGGGCGGCGGGCTCAGCAGCAAGAGGAGGCGCAGCACAGGGGGCGGGGGCAGGTGGAGATGACGCAGGTTGGGCGATAGCAAGAGGTGTGGCAGGAGACTTGGCCACAGACTGGACGCAGGCAGCAGCAGGGGCGGCAGCAAGGCTGGCGGCAGGTGAGCTGGCAGCAGGTGGGCTGGCAGCAGGTGGGCTGGCAGCACTGGGGCTGGCAGCAGTTGGACACACAGCAGCTGGGGCGGCAGCAGCTGGAGATGCAGCAGCTGGGGCGGCAGCAGGTGGGCTGGCAGCAGCTGGAGATGCAGCAGCTGGGGCGGCAGCAGGTGGGCTGGCAGCAGCTGGAGATGCAGCAGCTGGGGCGGCAGCAGGTGGGCTGGCAGCAGCTGGAGATGCAGCAGCTGGGCTGGCAGCAGCTGGGGCGGCAGCAGCTGGGGCGGCAGCAGGTGGGGCGGCAGCAGCTAGAAATGCAGCAGCTGGGGCGGCAGCAGGTGGGCTGGCAGCAGCTGGGGCGGCAGCAGCTGGAAATGCAGCAGCTGGGGCGGCAGCAGGTGGGCTGGCAGCAGCTGGAGATGCAGCAGCTGGGGCGGCAGCAGGTGGTCCTGCAGCAGGTGGTCTGGCAGCAGCTGGGTTGGCAGCAGGTCTCCTGGCCACAGCCCTCGTTAGAGCAGATGGAACCACAACAGGAACTGACCATGGTGTTGGAGGGTGGAGGTTCTGGGTGGAATTCTAGGAGAGTGTAGATCTTGGGTTTGGAAGTCTTCTTGACCATACCCCCTTTTATACCCTGCTGAAGGACTGTTGTCACCACATCATTATTTCCTTGTTATTATTTATCCTACTGGAAAATTTAATCATTTGATTACATAATTGTCTGTTTCTAGTTAAATACTCCATAATAGAGAAAACAACACATTTTCTTTTCCTGGTGTGCTCCTGTGTTTCCAAGTGACACACTGTCACATTTTTTCCTTAGTGGGAAGCACCTTTGTCTCTGGCCTATGCCTGGTCTTTGACAAAACACCAGTCACATGTGTGTCTGACATATTGTTTTTTATTATGACATTTCCTCCTATCTGTACATTGCTCCCTGCCATTTAGGGGATATGGTTTTCACAATGCTAATGTATCTTTTGTTGTCAAAGAATGTTCTGGTCCGGTGAAACATTGGAAAGGAATTAGAAGGAAAGAGTTATATGTGGGAGGATGTCTCATCTATAATGGGGATGGCTTGATCCTGTATGGGCATCATGGATGGCCAGGGAGGTGGACAGAGCCCAAGGAGGTTCTAAACTTGGTGTCAGATCTCATTCCATGGTCTCAAGCTGAAGCACTTAGCAATGACTCACTGCTTTTAAATAGAAAAAAAGCACATTAGTACAAGTGAGAGAACATAGTTGCTAGACAAAGATAGCGTCAATGAAGACAGAGAGAAGTGAATGTGTTGAGAAATTTTTTGGAGACATAGCAGGCAGTGGAGACACAGTGGAGCCTAATCCATGGCCTAGACATGAAGCAGTAGAGAAAGTGATTGATCATGGGTCACTTAGAATTTTAGGTTAACAGCTGAGCCTATTGTAGTGCCATTTACTGATATGAAAAAGAAATAAAGAAATAAATATGGGGAAGAGGGAGACCAATAGTTCTGTTCTTACCATGTCAACTTGAAGGTGGATATTATTCACTTTAAGTGAAGATATCAAGTAGAAAGTCTGTGGCTCAGTGGAAAAAACAGGGATGGAACAGAGTGATGAGCATGGTATTCTTGGTCATCATGGGGCTGGGTGAAACACACTAGAGGGGTGTGTAGGTAAAGAGGCCAATGTGTAGAGTTATGGGGCTACCTCAACATTTAAATAAAGATCAAGAGAGGAAAAGGTGCAGCAAAGGAGAATGAGTAAGAGCAGCCTTTAGAATCTGCCAGCAGGATTACTGGGTCACAGATTTGCCTTTATAATCTTAACTACTGTCAATTCATCCCCCAAGGAGTACCATTAGTTTATACTCTCACTATACATTCCACTAGTATAAACCTTCTAATTTCTACACATAGTCATTAGCTCAGGCTAATGATCAGTCTTATTAATTTTTATTTTTGCCCATCAGAGGAAATAGTATTTGACTGCTTTAGGTTGCATTTTCTTTCTTTTTTTTCCCTCAAGTATCTTTTATTATTATTATTTAATATTTAAAGGTATCCAATATTGTGTGTGTGTGTGTGTGTTTTAATTCAGGATATTATGAGGGTACAAACAGTTTTGTTACATGAAATGCATTTCCCTTGCTCAAGCCAGGGCTACAAGCGTGTCCTTCCCCCATACAGTGCACCATTAGCTGTGGGTTTACCTACCCTACTTTCTCTACCCCCACCTCCCAACAGCCCACCTGACGGGCACCCAGTGAGTATTACTACCATGTGAGCACCATAGTGTTGATCAATTAGTACCAGTTTGATGGTGAGTACATGTGGTATATGTTTTTCCATCACACTTTCCACCACACTTCGAAGGATGGGTTCAATCTCTATCCAGGATAATATAAGAGGTGCTAGATCACCATTGTTTTTTGTAGTTGAGTAGTATTTCATGGTATACATATACCACATTTTAATAATCTACTCATGTATTGGTGGGCATTTGGGTTGTTTCCACATCTTTGCAATTGTAAATTGTTCTGCAATAAATATTGTAGTGCAAGTGTCTTTTTGATAAAATGACTTTTTTTTTTCCTTTGGGTAAATACCCAGTAGTGGGGTTGCTGGATTAAATGGTAGGTCTACTTTTAGTTCTTTGAAAAATCTTAAAACTATTTTCCATAGAGGTTACACTAGTTTACAGTCCTACCAACAGTGTATAAGTGTTTCTTTCTCTTCACATCCACACCAGCATCTTTTATTTTGGGGCTTTTTGATAAAAGCCATTCTCACTGGAGGTAGGTGATATCTCATTTTGGTTTTGGTTTGCATTTCTTTTATGATTAGTAATGTTGCGCATTTTTTCATATGTTTATTGGCCATTAGCCTATCTTCTTTTGAAAAGCTTCCGTTTATGTCTTTTGCCCATTTTTTTAATGGGGTTGTTTGATGTTTTCTTGCTGATTTGCTTGGGTTCTTTGTAGATTCTGGTTATTAGCCCTGTATCAGATGTGTAGCATGTAAATATTTTCTCCCATTCTCTAGGTTGTCTATTTTCCCTATTGATTGTTTCCTTGGCTGTGCAGAAGCCTTTTAATTTAATCAAGTCCCATTTATTTATTTTTGTTGTTCTATGATTGCCCTTGGGTCTTCTTCATAAGTTCTTTGCCTAGGCCGATATCTAAAAGAGTTTTCTCAACATTTTCTTCTAGAATTCTTATGATTTCATGTCTTAGATTAAGTCTGTTATCCATATTGAATTAATTTTTGTGAATGGTGAAAGATATGGGTCCTGTTTCAATCTTCTACATGTGGCTATTCAATTTTCCCAGCACCTTTTATTGAATAAGGGTTCCTTTCCCCAATGTATATTGCTGTCTACTTTGTCAAAAATCAGATGGCAATATGTGGATGGTTTTATATCTGGGTTCTCTGTTCTGATCTATTGGTCTATGTCTCTGTTATTGTGCCAATACCAGGATATTTTCATTGCTACAGTTTTGTAGTATAGCTTAAAGTCTGATAAATTGATACCTCTAGATTTGTTCTTTTGCTTAAGTTTGCTTTGGCTATTTGGGCTCTTTTCTGGTTCCAAATTAAGCATAGAATTATTTTTTCTAATTCTGTGAAAAATGATGTTGGTATTTTGATGGAAATTGCAGGGAATTTGTAAATCACTTTGGGTAGTATGGACATTTTAACAATGTTTCTTCTGCCAATCCATGAGCACACAATATGTTTCTCCATTTGTTTAATTGATCTGCTGTTTCTTTCCTTAGTGCTTTGTAGTTCTCTTTATAGAAATCTTTCACCTCCTTGATTAAATATATTCCTAGGTATTTTATTCTCTTTGTAGCTATTGTGAAAGGTATTGAGTCTTTGATTTGAATCTCTGATTGACTGTTGTTGGTGTATAGGAATGTTACTGATTTGTGTACATTGATTTTGTAACCTGAGACTTTGCTGAGTTTACTTATCAATTCCAGAAGTCTCTTGGCAGAATCTCTGGGGTTTTCTAAAATAAATATTGATAGGAAAGGATTTACTACTGTCATTTTGTTAATTGTTTTCTGTTTGTCTTGTAGTTATATTTTCCTCTTTTTTTCCTTGATGTATTCCTTTGTGTTTCATATTTTGTCTTGTTTTTCTTTTTGTCTTCATAGGCTTTGGTTCCTCTTTTACTTTCACATAACTTCTATAGATATGTTCTTTGTAGTTACCTGGGGAGGTCACATAAAATATAGTTATAACAGTCTATGTTAAACATAACAACTTAACTTCACTTGCATACAAGAACTCTTGGCTTTTACCTCTTATTCTACCACTATATATGCTATTGATGTCCCAATGTATACCTACTTATATTATATATCCATTGAAAACAATTAGTTACATCTATTGCCAGACCACCTGCTGCCAGACCACTTGCTGCCACCCTAGCTGCTGTGTGTTCAGCTCTTGTCACCCTGCCTGCTGGCAGACCACCTGCTATAGGTGCCACCCTGCTGCTGCGGCAGTTCTTGCTGCTGAGTGTCCTGCTCTGGATCCATGAACCTTCTTGTTCTCATCCTTCGGTTCAGTCAGAGAGCATCTCTTCATAGAACATGTGGTCTTCCTGATGACATGAACTTACAAATAGACCCATGGCCTGATTTGGAAACCCCAGTCTCTATATTATTTATTCTCTTTTATAGAAACTTTTTTTACTATTGAATGAGAATTTACAGTCAATATTATGTCTCAAATAGTTTTAGAATTCTTGATTTGGAATCAAAATAGAGGAGTCCTCAAATGTTCTCCTTCTAGATTTTTTCTTTCTAATGTTTTCCTGTGGAACCAATTTTCATGTGGAATTGTTTGATGTTCCCCAATAAAACTTCTTAGCAGTTGTCCTATTTTCCCTAAAATCAAGAAGAAAGAAGCTTCCCACTTTCACAACTTTTATTCAACATAGTACTGTATGTCCTAGCCAAAGCAACTAGACAGGAAAAAGAAAAAAAGCATCCAAACCAAAAAGGAAGAAGTAAAATAGTCTGTATTTACAGATGACTTCATTATAGGAAACAAAAAACTTAAAGACTATAATTAAAAGTCATAAAAGTAATAAATAAATTCAGGAAATTTTCACTAACAGCAAACTATTTGGTAAAACAGGAAAGAAAACAATCCCATTTACAATAGTATCCAAAGGAATAAAATACTGAGGAATAGATTTAACTATCAGACCCATAATGAAAGAGCCATCAGAATACAACACACCTTTACCCTCCTGAGTCACCAGAAAGAATTATGGGCCTATCAGTAGCATCATCACCTAAGGGTTGACATGAGGTGCCAGCAGTATGAGACTGAAGCACATAGTACCTAGAGACAGAATGTCATGTGGCGGCTCTCTTTGAGGGAGCAAAACCAAGAGAGATACAAGAGGTGATTCAGGAAGAGCTGACCAGAAGAATTCTAACACATCAGTAAAGGAAATGTTTTCCATCCATGTTAATAAACTCAACCAGGAAAACAAACTTGCCTAATTTGATAATTGCCTATTTATTATGAAAAACAATAACAAGGAAAAAGTGCTGCAACTAATGACAGCAGCCCCTTAGCAGGGTATAAAAGGCAACCTGGGGTAAGGAGACTTCCAAACCTTCCAAACCTACCTTGCTGGAAACCCACCTGAAACCTCCATCCTCTGACACCATGGTTAACTCTTGTGGCTCTGTCTGCTCTGACCAGGGCTGTGGCCAGGAGACCTGCTGCCAACCCAGCTGCTGCCAGACCACCTGCTGCAGGACCACCTGCTGCCGCCCCAGCTGCTGCACCTCCAGCTGCTGCAGGCCCCAGTGCTGCCAGTCTGTGTGCTGCCAGCCCACCTGCTGCCGCCCCAGCTGCTGCCAGACCACCTGCTGCAGGACCACCTGCTGCCGCCCTAGCTGCTGCATCTCCAGCTGCTGCAGACCCCAGTGCTGCCAGTCTGTGTGCTGCCAGACCACCTGCTGCCGCCCCAGCTGCTGCATCTCCAGCTGCTGCAGACCCCAGTGCTGCCAGTCTGTGTGCTGCCAGCCCACCTGCTGCCGCCCCAGCTGCTGCATCTCCAGTTGCTGCCGCCCAACCTGCTGCCAGACCACCTGCTGCAGAACCACCTGCTGCCGCCCCAGCTGCTGCTAGACCACCTGCTGCTGTGCAACCTGCTCTAGTGGTTCTTGCTGCTGAGGACTCTGACTTGCAATCACCTATTCCCCATCAACCAACACTCTTGATGTAGTGCATTTGTGAGATAAATCATGTGATGCCAAAAGTTCAGTTCCAACTAATTTTTAGATTCAATTTGGCTTCCAAATATACTTTCCCTCCCACCGTTTTACTATTACTCTACCAGATGAAAACCAGTTTGATTCTTTTCTGAAATCTGCCAACTACCATGTCACCCCAATTGAAATATTTGCTTTCTGCTGTAATTTCTTATGTGGAGATATTCCTACATCTTCAATAAATCTTAATTTTCTGGGCATACAAATGTACGGGCATCATGTCTCATTATTTTTCCTTCTTTAATTGTCACCCACTTGTCCATTTCTCTGTTCTTCTCTGAAGAGGGAGAAGACTATAGCAGATAAGTTCAGGGGCTCCACCTCCATTCCCCAGCACTCTTCATTCTGATATAGGAAGATGATTTCTTAGAGCAAGCACCTGGGGCTCTCTGCCTGAGGACTTTCTCTGGATAACGGAGCAACCTCTGGGCTGGAGAGTTTAAGCCTCTAGGAATAGCACTCACCCAATGAATGGAGCTCGTGGGCAAATGCCCTAGCAGCCTAGCTTATTTCTCAGATAGTGGGGGCTATATCATACCTGTCTTCCAGAGCTCAGTGGGAGTGAACCGCAGCTGCCTACAGGACTATTCTGCTCATTAACTCACCCAATATTGACTTTCCTTTCTTCCACGGACCATCTTCCAATTTCCTTGAAGCACTTCTGGGGCTCATCTCCCAAATGTACACACTTGATCTCAAATTCCTGTTTCTGGGTCTGCTCTGGAGGGAACCCAGTTTAAGACACCAGAGTCCCTCTTTTCAGTTTCAGTAATATTCAAAACATTTTTTTGTACAATATGAACGGTTACCACAGTGTTATGGTCAACTCTTGGGTATACTGTCAACTGAACTGGTCTATCTGCTGAACATTTAGGTATTTCTTCCTTTTAATTTTTGTACTTTTTTTTTTGTTTGTTTTACTAATTGTCTTCAATCATTTTTCTTCCACAGCATTATACCTGAGGGATAGGGTAAAATAGCCATGTTAGTAACACATCCTAGTGAAGGCTGTGATTAGAAAGGTTGCACCCTAAGCCATGTGTGCTAAGTTGGCTTCACAAAAATCAGGTCCTGAAATAGGGATTTTTGTATAAGTGATTCATAAGATAATGCTTTCAGGTGAAATCTGTTAGAAACTGTGGGGAACAGTATAGTGTGATAGGGAAACTAAGCCAAAATGTGATTTCGGTTGACTTTTATGCTAATCTGACTCCACAGCAAGCTCTAGAGTATACATGGTACCTGCCACTCTGGGAGGCAAGGTGCTTGGACCTTTGTACTCCAACATCAGTTATCAGTAGCTGTGGGCTACCCTGTGGGAATAGAATAGGGTGTAGAGAGGGTAGAAAGCTCCAGATGTGGTGGCTCCTATGAGCTGAGGACAACTACCTGGATACAGTGCAGGTGAGGAGTGTGAGCCACTGGCAGTCAGTACTCACGCTAGTGTGGGGTGGGGGCACCTTTCTGGTGAAAGGGATCTTAAATTGTCCTCTGAAGAAACATAGACTGGCAGAGTGGATAACAATCCCCAAGCCTAGTATCAGATGTCTACAGGAAACACATCTAACCCACAAAGATGCTTTCAGGCTCAAAGTCAAGGGATGGAAAACAATCCTCTGGGCAAATGGAAGTCAAAAGAAAGCAGGGATAGCTATTCTTATCTCAGATAAAATAAGCTTTAAAATAGCAAAAGTAAGATAGGACAAAGACGGCCACTATATAATGGTGAAAAGGAAGATATAACAAGAACAATTAACAATTCTTAATATTTATGCACCCAACTCAGGAGCACCCAGATACATAAAACAAACCCTGTCTGATCTAAATAGCATGATAAACAATAATGCCATAGTAGCTGGGGACTTCAGCACCCCACTGAATGAACTGGACAGATCTTCCAAAGAGGAAATAAGCAAAGAAATAATGGACTTAAACAGAGCTCTAGAACAAAAGGATCTGACAGAACTCCACAGAACATTCCACCCAGATAAAGCTGAATAAACATTGTTCTCATCAGCTCATGGAACTTTCTCTAAAATTGATCACATAGTAGGCCAAAAATCAGACCTCAAAAAATTTAAAACAATAGAAATTTTACCATGTATCTTCTCAGATCATAGTGGTAAAAATTAGAGTTCAATTCCAACAGAAATATTCACCACATCACAATGTCATGAAAATTAAACAATCTATTGTTGAATAACTATAAGGTCAATGAGGAAATACAGAGAGAAATCAAAAGATTCTTTGAACTAAATGATAACAGGGACACAAGTTATCGAAATCTGTGGGATACAGCAAAAGCATCCCTGAGAGGAAAACTAATAGCATTAAATGCTCACATCCAAAAAACAGAAAGCTCAAAAATCAACAACCTAATAAACAGTTTCAAGGAATTGGAAAAGGAAGAGCAAATCAATTCCAAACCTAGCAGAAGAAAAGAAATAACTAAGATCAAAGCAGAACTAAGTGAAATTGATAACAAAAGAACTATACAGAAAATCCAACAAAGCCAAAAGGTGGTTTTTCAAAAAGATAAACACAATTGACAGCCTTCTTGCCAGATTGACAAGAACTTGAAGGGAAAGGACTCTAATAAACTCAATTAGAAATGAAAACGGAGAGGTCACAACAGATACCATGGAAATACAAAACATTATCTTTGAATACTATAAAAACTTATATACTCAAAAACTACATAATGTGGAGGAAATGGACAAATTACTGGAAACATACAGCCTCCCTAAGTTTACCCAGGAGGAAATAGAATTCCTGAACAGATCAATATCAAGCACAGAAATTGTTTTTTTGTTTTTAAATAAATTTCATTGCATATGTCTAAGGTACACAGTGTCTGTGCTCTTCATAAGAAAAGTTTTTTGAAATTCAAGGTGAACAAAATGCTTATTCTATTTAAGATCAAGAAGGCAAGAAATGATTGAAGATAGTTAAAGAACAAAAAAAAATTCAACCAATGGCCTGTAGGGATTTAGATTACTTTAAATATTGCTCTGAGTATATATACCATTTCATATCAAGAATGGTAGAATTATTAGTATTTATTCTTAAATATTTTAATGGGGTTTGATTTTTATCAGACAAGGACTTAATTGAACTGAAAATGTATTAACTTACCTATTAATTACACATGTCTATTGTACGTTTCTCTATTTAGATCATGATATCATAATTGATTCACTGTAATTCACCCAATGGTAGTACATTTCAGGTACAGACAAAATACATAACAGGCATTTATAAAAAATGGTTGAGTACTAACATAATATGTGTGATACTTGACCAAAAAAACCTTTTCCCATGCCATTCTTTAAAGGAGGGACAACACAGTTTCCTCAATGTTGATTGAATCATTAAAATTTCTTTGTGTTTACTTAACAAGGTCTTTATCATGGACTTCTAAAGAGGCAACAAAATGATTGGTTTCAAAATTTTTTAAAAGCCCCCACACATGGTTGTGTATGCCTGTAGTCTCAGCTACTGGGGAAGCCGAGGCACAAGGATTACTTGAGCCCAGGAGTTCAAGGCTACAAGTGAGCTCTGAGCTCACTGCACTCCAGTCTGCATGACAGAGCCAGACTCTATCTCAAAGAGAGAGAGAGAGAAATAAATAATAAAAATGTTTAAAAGTACATTAAAGAAAAAAATACCTTACACTGCATCTATTACTCTGTGTAATAAGAAAGGCACAGTTTAAGTAAACCATTTATAACCTGGGTACATAGTGCTCATGTTAATTATCAATTATACTTCACCAGACTATGGGTAAAATTTAACAGGGAGTACATAGAGCAACATCTCTCCTGCTTTTGAGTTTTATTTTCTTAAAAAACCTAGTGTGTTGTCTGTAGTGATTTCCCATTGTGGTTCTTACCCTAATGTTCCATTCTCATCCATATGGAACCACAACGAGTAAGATGTGCAATGTTTGGGGGATGGATATGCTAGAAGCTCTTACTCGAGGGGGGAGGGGGGCATGGGCAATATAAGCAACCTTAACACTTGTACCCCCATAATATGCTAAAAGAAAAAAAAAAGAAAAAAAGACACCTTTTCTGTCCCTAAAATGCTTATAGTCTAATAAAATATTAAACTTTGATTATCTCAAAAAAAAAAGAATTATCAGTGTTTCAGTCTTCAATATTCATATTTCAGTGTTTAAAATTCAGGATATCTTCTCCTCTCTATATATACTACCAATTGTACTTCAAATATTTTAGCTACTTCTGTTCCCAAGTTAATATTATACAAATGCATGTAATACAGTTTAAGGAGGTTGATCTCAAGCTTGGCTGCCCATTAGGATGAATGAAGGAGTTTTAATAAATCCCAGTTCCCAGGCCATACCCCAGACCAGTTAAGTCAGAAGTTTTCCAGGCAAGAGCCAGGCATCAGTAGTTTCTAACACTCCCCAGGTGATTCCAGTATTCAGCCATCTTTGAGAACCCCTTGTTTAGAAGCTGTGATTCTCTGTACATTTCTCTACAAGAGAATGTACCTTGCTTTGTAGCTATGGCAATAGGGTTTTCTTAATCTCCATAAATTTATATAAAAACCTCTTCCCTCATAATCAGAAACTTTCTCTTATATGTTTTTATTTTATTCTTGGCCTCTCCTATACGGCAGATCAAGTGAAAATCTCCCCCTTCAGGACACCACATTGCCTCACAATAGGTTTTGCTAAGCCTTTCATGTTCTCCAGCTCTGCAAACACGAGCCTATAAAATAAAAACATGTAAGTCAAGTGTTTGCTTAATACCATTAATATGATAAAAATATTCCCAGGGCCTTGATCTTTAAATGACCTTAGTTAAGACATTTCAGGATGTCATGATGGAG